ATAATCAAGCTTGGAATATCGCATTAGCTTTTGTCGAGATATGGGCTGGATTTCTATCCTGGGACGTGATTATGTCCGGTATGAGGCAAAAAGATGTTAGGATTTATCCCTACCAGCCTCAACTGTTTGCTCGCCAATTTGGTCATTGTCAGATGAAGCCTCTTCCCTTACGGAGAAAAGAAAGTATTGACTATGACCTCTGTGTCGACACGGGAAACTATGAGGAAGTTTTACAGTTTATTCTTCGACCTGACAAGGAACTTCGACTCACCCCATGCCGTTTCTCCCCTTCTTTCTTAGTTTCAAGATGTTACCTTCGTTGGTGGTGTACATATCACGTAGATAAACTTCTTAATTTTGATGCAATCTTAAAAAAGCTAATTAACTCTCCTCTCTCTTGTTCACAGGGGCCCAAGCAATCAGGTACTTTCAAGAATCAAACTATAATTTATCAATTCAAACAATTTTTTAAGGTTTGTTATCGACCTGACAACGTGCATCGAACCATCTTTGACGCTTCGGTTTCATTATCGAAAATGGTACAAAGGAACATCCGCTCAAACAAGGTAATAAACCCTCGAGGTAAAACTGATTTCGAAAAATTTTGTCCAAAATACATACCTCCTCTTCCAAATGCTCTTTTTGGTTTAGTTAAACATTTATCTCACCCTCCTTGGGTGAAGACACTCGACCCGTTTTACCTTGAGCGCAAAGAGATTCCTGTAAAGAATCGAGTTACCTATGCGAGATGTTCCGTGTATGATTTTCCTCGACGCAAATGGTGGCCACTATGTTGGGTCAATAACATTAACCCTCCTCCTGGTAAATAACTTTAGCCGAAGCCCTTTCTCGAATTTAGATTTGTACTTATCTCACCTTCCTCTTCCAAATTTCTTTTTTATTTTCAGCTGCCATTCCTCAACGTGTTCCACAACATGTTGAGAAGACTTCCAATTGGGAGAGTGATGATGACGAGGATGATGCCAAAGAGTCATCCAAAAAGGGTCGAAAAAGAAAGACCGCTGCTGAGAAGGTTTCCTTACGCTCCAAGGAACAAATCTCTTCGATTTCACTCTTTATCGAGATTCTTATGGTATTTTACTTTCCCTTTTTGGACTCTTGCTTTGCAGAGTATCGAAACCTCCAAGAAACGAAAAGTGGGCTCAGACAGTACTAAAACTGTAAGTAAACTAAACTACCCAAATACCAATGCTACTTTGTTGTCTGCATTTCTTAACAATAAAATTGTTCTCACTTTCAGGTCTCGACCACAAAAAAGCCAGATAAAGGGAAAGGAAAGATGGTCGTTTCTCTTTCCAAGAAACCCCAGAAGCCTCCGACTGTGAAGCTTCTTCAAGATGCTATGAAGTCGGTCACAAAGGTGATTTAATTTTCTTCGATTTCATTTTTCCATACCTTCGACTTCCCTAACACCTTCGCTTATTGTAGGATGTTGAAGTCATCCAACTTGATTCCTCTCCCGACTTTGCCAGATATTGACCCCCGTTTACTCAATCAACCCAACATCTTCGCTTTTTCTAACTTTAGATCTTATAATCTTTAATCTAGAAATCTGAAAACAATGTTGATGTGCAGTTGACCACGCCTCAGTTGAATGTTGCTGAGATTGCTTCCGTGGTGGCTTCGATTGAAGTCCCTCCCCAAGTCGAAGGGAATAAGGTTGCTGAATCTGGGCCCTTGACAACTCCGAAGAACATACAAGATTCTGATCAAGGTGAACCCTCTTTCGAGTTGCAACCCCCCTTGAGTCCGAACATGGGTATATGCCTTATCAACCATACTTGTTGGTAGTTTCCTTTTCGAAATTTATGTTTATGTGTTTTTCCTTTATATAGGTTCTACCGAGTCTCCCAGGCCTTTTACCACTTCCCCTTCGACCCAAGGCGGCGCTACTTCCTCTGTTCAAGGTCTTTCGTCCATTCCCTCTCCTGACTTGGATTTGATGAGCTTCTTCAACGATGAAGACGAAGATATTAACAGTATCTTCGAGGTCTTGGATAATTGGACAAGTGGTCCTTCAGAGTCAGAGAAGGACAAAGACAAAACCGTCGAGCAAGTTTCTGATGCTCCATCTTATCAACCTCTACTTCATGCTTTTTGATCGAAGGCGTATGTCGAAGATCTCGATCAGGCCTTCCTCATTCCTGAGTTCAAGATAGAGGTTGAATAGATGATGGAGGATCTATTGTCTTACCCGAATCTTCCTCCTGAAGTCCATTCTGAGCTGCAAGAATTTGTCCAACCCTTCAGCCTCGCATGGGACCTTCGATCTCAATGGTCCAACGGCGGAGATGGTTTCTTCTTTGCAACAACTACAACAAGAAGAGAAGGATATAGAAACCACAATCAAGTCTCTGCAACATGAGTTAGATAAGGCTCGTTCAAAGAAGGATGCCATTAAAGTCCAAAGCCACGAGATCAAGCAGCGCCAAACAAGTCTCAAAGAGGAGGGGAAGGTCATATCCTCCCGACTCGCGAAAACCTTGGAACAGAAGAAACACTTGGAGGCTCAGTGTTCTTCTCGAAGGAAAAGTTTGGACGAGGCTTACAAAGCTTTCAAGGATTTTAAGTCCAAATTCTGTAATAACTAGATTCTTTTCTGCTTTTCGACTCCTTTTAATTTATGTTTGGCTCGTGTTGAACAATTATTATTCTATCCTCTTATGAAAATGCTTCAAGTATCTCCCATTCATGACTTTGCTCGCACTCGAATTACTTATTTCTTTAATCACGTATGCGTTTTTTGAATATACTTGTTCTACTACAAAAAGACCTTCCCAATTATATGACCACTTCCCCAAGTATCGAGACTTTTGATCCACAGGAAGAATCACTTTCAACACTAAGTCTCCGACTCGAAATGTTGTGTTTTAACTTTCTTGTTGTATGATTTCTCGACTCTTTCCTTCTGTTGAACAATATTTTGCAACGCAATTAACCTTTCTTCCTCCAAGGAACTCAACTCATCATACATTAGATTCCAATAATCATCAATAGGTTGATTGGTATAGATATCGGATTTACACATTTAAAATTCGAACCAAACCAATTAATTTATATATTTTATTTTTATTTTTTATTTAGTAAACAATTAATATGCATGTATCATTTTGATTATTTTGAAGATATTTTTTGTGTAACAATATGTAATTTTTTATATTTATTATCTCAAATATTTAAAGAAAACAAGAACTATATTGTAGTATATTGAATGTTATTTTCACACACTATAGTGCATTTAAAATTCTTAAGTCGATTAAGAAAAGAAACTAAGAGAAACTATATCATAAATCTATCAATTAGTTCATTTTTTATAATATATCACTTTAGTTAATATTTAAAAATCTATTTACTTTGATAATAAAAAAAGTGATTTTTTAATTTTTTTTAAAAAAAATCATTGAATATCCAATTACCCAAACTGAATCAACCCAATCAACATCGAATTGATTCGGTTTGGGTTAAGCAAAAAAAAAATATGAAAGAACCAATCCAAACCAATTAAATTTAATTGGTTCAAATTGGATTTTCACTTAAACCCGAATCAACCCAACTTGAGAATACCCTTATTAACTGATTACATAAAATGTGCATAATATATGGAAGATAGTCGACAAGTTAATTTCATATAGGCTTACTTGATGCATACTAATGTCGTGTAAACACATACCCAAGTTGTTCTGTTCTTAACAGAGATATTAGACTTTTCTAGTTTGAGTGGCGAAATCAGAGAAATTATGTTATATTATGAACTAATATCCAAATTTTTTGTTAATCTAGCAAGTCAAAAAAGATCGTGTTGTTAAGTTAGTTTGGTAGGGTCAAATCATTTAAACTGTTTACTTGTGTTGTAAGAGATCTTTTTGTTGAAATGTGTGACAACACATCATGTTGTGTTGCTAAGTTGATGTGTTGATAAGTTGTGCTGTTCATATATATACTAAATTGATATAACAATAAGTTGTATAACTATATGGTAAGTTGAAAAGTTAAGTTGTAAATTTGTGTTGTTATGTTTATCTGTGTTGCTAAACTAAGTCTTGGGTTGTTGTTGTATTGTGTTGACAAAGTTGTTTGTATAACTAGTTTATTATTTATATACTATGTTGCTTTCTTAATTATGAGTTTATTCTTGTTGTTGGACTATAATGATCATTTATTATGGGAATAGAACGAGATTAGACTAGACGACGAGCAAGTTGAGGTGTCATGTTGGAGATGGTGATACTTTTGGTAGAGATTGTTCTCACACAATATATGTAGTAGTTACTTGATCGACAACTTAAGATTTTATGTTTAAATGTTTAGATAGTTGTTACATGTATATCCAAGAACTATTACATGTTAATTATTGGGAATTAAATTTTTGTTTTTTATTGCTTAATTGTGGAACTATAAAGTGTAAAGCGTAGTAATTTGCTAGATTGTTACATAAATACTCTAATTTTAGATTGTTACATATACACTCTAACTTTAGACAACCAACTAGATTATCTTTAATATGTTTTATAGATGAGAACAAAAATATTGTTTTATTTTTTTTTTAACTTTCATTTTAGTGGCGTTATGTTTCTACTACTATTGAGAAAAAGTTTAAACAAAAACATATGAAGGAGAACATACATGCCACAATTATGGCTTTGTTTTTGATGGGAATATCTAATTTCTGCCCCTACTAACATTCGACTTAAATAATAAATGACTCTCTCGATGCCATTATCATCATCTTGCGCCAGCATGCCCGTAACAGTCGAATCGCTAGCCGAAATATACAACTTCAGTTGTTTCCCTTTAAAGAGTGGTGCAAGCACTGGAGGATGAGCCAGATAAACTTTAATTTCCTCGAACGCTTTCTGGTGCTCTTCATTCCATCAAAATTCTTGCTCCTTTTTTAAACATAACAGAGGAGAGAACACTTTAGTTTTACTAGACAAATTCGAGATAAATCTTCTCAAAAAATTTACTTTACCTAAGAGAGATTAAAGTTCCTTCTTGTTCGATGGAGGTTTAGTCTCCATGATAGCTTTCGTCTTATTTCGATTAACTTCAATTCCTTTCTGGTGTATGACGAACCCCAGAAATTCTCCTGCTGTAACACCAAAAGCACATTTTAGAGGATTCATTTTCAAACCATGTTTTCTCATTCTCTCAAAAGATAATTTTAAATGGTTTAGGTGGTCCTCTTTTTGCTGTGACCCAACAATTATATCATTGATATATACTTGTACAAACTTACCAATTAAATCATGGAATATTAAATTCATTGCCCTATGATAAGTAGCACCTGCGTTTTTTAATCCAAACGGCATCATCACCCATTCATAGACGCCTAGAGCACCTGGACATCGAAAAGCAGTTTTCGATACATCATTAGCTGCAATATAAATTTGGTTATATCCAGAATAACCATCGAGCAAAGTCATAATTTCATTACCTGCAGCGGCGTCTATCATAGTTTCTGTTATGGGCATAGGATACTCATCTTTGGGAGTTGCCATATTAAGATCTCGAAAATCAATGCATACTCTGAGTTTCCCGTTTTTCTTCATAACTGGCACTATATTCGAGATCCACTCGGGATATCTTGAAGTTCTGATGAACTTTGCTTTCAATAATCTCTCGATTTCTCCTTTGATTTTTTCAACTACTTCAGGAGCAAATCTTCGAGGACTTTGCTTCACAGGTTTCTTTCCTGGGATCATGGGTAGCCTATGCTCTACCAACTCTCGATCTAATCCTGGCATTTCATCATAATCCCATGCAAAGCAATCTTTGTATTCATGCAAAACTTGAATTATTTCCTCCTTTAACTTCCCTTGCAATAAGTACTTGCTGATATAAGTTACTTTCCTATTTTCGACAGTTCCCAGATTAATTTCTTCAAGTGGGTCTTGGGACTCTAACTTATGTTCTTCATTGGTGGCCCTTTCGAATCCCAGGGGCGAATCATCGAAAATACAATCTAACTTGGGTTCTAGTTCTTGCTCTTTGCACTCTTTGGTTTTCTCGACCTCCTGGTCTCTTTCTATTTTTTCTTTTTCTGCTTGTCTCGAGTCAACTTGGTCCTCTCGATTTTTCTCTGTTTTTTGTTTTTCTTCATTTTTTCCAACTTCGAGATCCACCTTTGTTTTTTGGTTTTTTTTGTTTTTTCCCACCTCCAAGTTTACCTTTGTTTTTTGTTTTTCTTCGGCCATAATGGTCGTACTATTTTTGCCATTTCCAATATACTGTTCTTCGGCCATGTTGGCCGTTCGATCGGCCACATAGGCCGATATCCGAGCTAAAAAGCTTGAGTAAGGATCTTCATCCTCCATTCTTCAGGTGGAGCCGAATCCTTTTCGCCTCGAATTACAAATCCTTTTTTCACATCCCAGCAAAAGGTTTTCTTGACTTCTTCTTCTTCATCCATCACCCCAGAATTGTAAGCATCAAACGGTTTGGTCTTGGCAAATGCTGTCAATTGTTGATCAGCAAAGTACATGCCAACTTCATACGTCTTCTGGTCTGCCTCGAGAACCTCCAACCCTTCGTCATCATTCCAGAAGAAAATCTTCTGGTGGACCGTGGAAGGAACAACACCTACCCCATGGATCCACTCTCGACCTAGCAGAACATTAAAATTCGCCTTAGATGGCATTACTATAAACATAGTAGTCCTTTTTGCACTTCCAATCTGTACATCGAGCAGAATCATGCCTTCAGGATGTGATGACTTTCCTGCGTAGTCAGAAATCATTATATTGTGAGGCTTTAAATCAGTCAAAGATTTCCCAAACCTCTTGAGCATTGTCTTGGGCAGGATGTTCACAGCTGCGCCTCCATCGACCAAAACCTTATTCACCTCTTGCCCTTCGATCATCAATGTCAACAATAGGGGCTTAAGGTGTCCTTTCATTTCCTCCGTGGGAGAGTCGAAGACAGCAGAATTGAACTTGGGGATAACCCTCGAGATTTGATTGACCCATATGATTTTGGATTCATAGTTGGGGTCATCAAAGAAGTCTTCTCGCTGCATATCCTCTAGTTCATTCACAGACTCCATAGCCCCAACATATTCGGAAGGTAAAATGGAGACCACCCCACAAATATCTTCCAGGGAATCCTCAAAACCACTTTCGAAACCGTCAGTAATCATGTCTTCGTCGTCCTCGAGGAAGTTTTGAGATGATTCCCCTTTCTGAGGTACAGGAATCGAGAAACAGTTTCCCCCGACACCTTCAAAGGTAGCTTTTCACATCCTTTGCTGTCTCCTCCACTGGGTCTTAGTTAAGTTATTGAACGGTTGTCGAAAGCCCCGTCCGTATCCCCCAGTTGAAAATTTACTAGAACCTGGAGCCAAATTCGAGAATTTCCCGAGATTTCCTTGTACTGGGTTCCTGGTATAAGTCATTACCTGCTTCCTTCGACCCATTCCACCAACTATGGGCTTCGGAGGTGCATTCCATCTTCCGATTGGGACATTCGCATTCGGCACGAAAGTATTGCCTAATCTCGAGGAGTTATACATCTCCATCTTTCCTACTAGAGCATTATACTGAGGCATATGAACCTGCCTCATTGTTAACCCAGCATTTGGTCCAGTATTAGTCTTGGATTTTTGCCGAAGACTTTCAGCTTTATAATTCCTCATCATATCCGATTCTTCAAAGGCTTTAGTAGCAGCCCTATCGAAAACAACACTACATCGAGGACACAACATAACCTCTTTGTCAGCTTTTTTCTTCTTTGACAAGAATTCAACCAAACTATCCCCTTCTTTTGGGTATATAGGTTCCTGCTCCTTAGCGAAATCCTCCATTAATTCTTCTAGCTTTTCATCAGAAATTGGTTCGATGTTCTCGTCATCCTCGACAGCAACATCCACCATGTTGATCCCCACTGAAATTGGTTCGATATATCCAGTATGAGCAGCGAATGGGTCTGTGTTATATGTGTACCTTAAAATGGTCATTAGGTCAAAAGTAATAATTTTAAAAATTTTATAAAAATAAAAATTAAAAAATATATTTTACAAAAAGTAAAATCAAAATTCATTCATTTTATGTAAATAAAAAATAATGTTATAAATTTTAGAAGAATAAAAAAAATACAAAAACTAAAATAAAAAACTAACTCATTTTATAAAAACTAAAACATATTTAAACTCAAAATTTTAATAAGCATCTAAATTCTATTATAATAAATTTTAGTCAATGATATAATAATATTAATATTTAATTACTTATTGGGTTCTTAAGTTTTATCGTGTGTAAATTTTACTTTTAATCTCTATAAAAAACATTTACAAATATTTTTAATTCCTTTTAGTTTTTATCACTAAAAAAGCTAATGTTATTAACGAAGACATGTCACTAACTAGTGTGTTTGTATTGTTATTTACATTTTAGTTCTCATATTTTTAATATTTTTACATGTTAGTCTTTACATACGTACGATCTTTATTTGTTATCTCAATACTTGGAAAATAGTCATTTTAATAACGCTATTAGAAAGATTAATGGAATTATCAAGAGTAAAAAAAATCTCTTAGGTTTTCTTTAATTTTTAATTTAATTTAAAATTAAAAATCTCGAAAGCTTGGGGGTTTGTATACCAGGAGAGCTTTTGGTGGAAAGGTAAAATCGAATACCCTTCAGTTTAAATTAAGAATCAGAAAAATCTATAAATAATTAAAAAGTATTGTTAAAGGTAATTAGGTATTATTAGGTTTACCATCAAGGTTTAGGCTCAATAAGATTAGTATAAATAGTGACATATGATGAAGAAAAAGATACTTTTGCATTTATTACAATATTTATTGCATTGGTCAGTGTGAGATCGAGACTTGAGTTTTGAAATGTCTTTTACAAGTATCATTTTCTTACTTTCTTAGTCAAGTATGCCCGAGAACAAGCCCGAGAACAATTTGTCTCGACATTAGAGATAAAAATAGTGTTTGTATTAGACTCTTTGAATAAGTTGTAATGAAAAGTATAAAGATATGAAAAACATAGACTATGAAGTTAAAAAACTTATTATATGAGGATTGAAAGTGTCAAAATTGCCTATATATTCTATGTCGGTACAATATTATATTAGATTTATATAAATCTACATATTTTTTTCTCTATCAATGTAAATTAAACTTAAATTAATATTGATTGAATTTTACAATAGTTCGATGTATCTAATCAAATTGAATGACCTTAATTATATTTCAAATGACATGGGATCAGTTGAGTTAGAAAGCTCACACAAAAGGCTACTTTTGTTACAAATTTTTGGATTTTTAAAGATAAGATGCGCCAGCAGTTTTCATTTGAAAACAGGTAATTGTCTGCTGTAGTGAATTTAGTCTCACTTGAACAGCAACCACTAATGTCTACATAATGTAAGCTCTAGACTTTCAAAATATATATAAGGTTAACTTTGGTAAGAAATAAATTAGGATTTTTAATGATAATATGTAGTACCATTTTTCATTTGATAATCTCACTTGGACACTGGACACCAAGCATTGGCTTCTGGTTTTATGCATAATGTAAGGTCAAATTTCAATGGTTGTTATATTTTCACATCATGCAACAATGTCTGTAAAAAAACCGTTATCTCTTTTCAGATAATGATGGTCTACTCATGAGTTGGAAGAGTTCGTCTTCCTTGGCCTCCTCTAGTGTTGGATTCGGTTTCGCTCACCAAATTTGACATTAAGAACTTACTATCAGGTATTTTGTACATTATAACAAGCTTTTCTGACTGTCGGTTTTGGTGTGTAAAACCAATCTTGATTTTAATTTTATGGTTTACATTACAATTGAAACTAATAAAGATTATTGGTTAAGAATTTACAAATTTAGGCCCTAATTCGGCCACCAATTACAATTTAAAATTTTTATTTTTATTTTTTTATTAATTTAAGAGAGTAATTTAATTGATCATGACAATTTTGGGAGCCAAAATAGTAGTACAATCGAAATAAAGGAAAATTGCATTGTGAAAAAGGGGAGCAACAAATGGGTGTGTAATATATAGATGCAAGCTAATTAATCCGTATGATAAATAAGTATATAGTGTTCCAACAAGAGATAATAATTGGTGATATCTGTGTGTTATATATGACCCATGATATGATTATATATGATTGTGTCGATCACATCTAATCAGTAATCACAAATTGAGCGCATGCAGCATAAGCGAATGCAATAATTGAGAAATTGTTACTGTTCTCACATCGTGAGTGGTCAGGTGCAAGCAGCTTTATGGCAAACTTTTGGCTATTGCTCCGGTGACCTCTTATTTGAAGGGGTTTTGGTGCCCCTCAGTACAAAAGTTGGGTTTTTAAGGGCAATAAGATAAATTGATAGCCTTCGGTCAATTTATCAATTTACCTTATTGCCCCTAAAAACCCAACTTTTGTACTGAAGGGCACCAAAATCCCTTCAAATAAGAGGGCACCGGAGCAATCCCCCAAACTTTTACTCCCAATTTTTACACACATAACATGCATCGCTCACTAGCCAAACAAAACACCAACGTGTGGTGTGCTGTGAGGGAACGTAACATAACACTAAAATGCATAGACATCGTGTGGTCTCTGCTCAAACACACTCAATAACTTTCTATCACTCCTCCATTATTCTTTTTTTTTTTAATACTTCTTTTCATCCAATAAAATGATATTTTTAGTCACAAATCTATATTCAAAATGGGAAATTAAATCTTAATCTTTGGTTAAAGAGTATGAAGTGAAGAGCACACTATGTGAATTGGAGTTGGGGTTACACTTACTTAGCATGACCAAGTTGATACCAACAAAGAAAGTTCTAATTAGTGCAAAGAAAAGAAATGTGTGCAAGTAAGTAGTAGTGGACAAACTGACAAAGGATGGATAGATGGATTTGATGGATTGGATGGCTAAGAAAGTCGCTCGTGCAATATAATCTAAATACTGAAAATGACACTTCAATCTCATTAATTATTCCTCATTTGAATTCACAAGACAACATTATTGTTAAGATGCATGTACATGATAAAAATAAAATAAAAAACTATCTTGACATATTTTAAAACTATTGATTTATTCATCTATTTTTAAACCTAAAAATTATTAACCAATATACAGTTTTAGGTCTATTAATTTATTTATAACCTCTTTCACTCTGTGTGTTGGCCTAAAAATAGAAAAGAAATGAGAAAGAATAAAATGAGAGAATGAAAATAAGTATGTGTTTGATATGTAAGAAATGAAGGAGTTGAGAAATAA